ATATTAGCATTGTACAATGTACTTCAAAGTTATAATAACAACAATAATAATATTGTTTATAATAAAATAATTTATTCAAACATTGTTTTCAAGGAATATCATGTTTGTCCATGTTTTAACTTTGCCAAAAATAAAAGTTGTACATTTTCATTTCATAACATTTTAAAACATTAATTAAAATGTTAAAGTGTCATATAGATATACATAAGGTGTACAGCTTTATTTTGTTTATTGTTTTTTAAATTTATTTATTTATTTTTTCACAAGGCAGACTTCAATACTTTCATTAAAATGGTTTCAAGTTTGTTGTAATAAAGGATTTGTTCCCTCAAATAACTTGTTCTTGTTCTTTTAAGTCATTGTTACTGAAAATAATTATTGTTTAATACATACTGTGAAACCGTGATTTTCTGAGACAATTATCATACTGTGAAAATATCATACCGTTACAACCCTACTTTACAGTAAGGTCTAATTTGTTAACATGCATTAGTTAACATGAGCTGACAATGACCAATATGTTTATTTAATATAGCAATTAGGGTTGTGACGGTGAGGAAATTTTCCCACCGGTTAATCGACGTGTGACAACACCGGTAATACCGGTATCACCGTGGGGGCAGGGGCGTTCCCTCTTTTCCTCGCTTTCCTTCGCTTTTAAATAGCTTGTAAAAGCGGCGTGGGCATTTTACTTTCACTTTCAAATAGCGGAAATTCGGAGTAAAGCAATTGTTCGCTTTTAGTTCGTTTGAATTTTCCCTCTTTTCCTTGCTTTCCTTCGCTTTTAAATAGCTTAAAAGTGCCGTGCGCATTTTACTTTCACTTTCGAATTAGCGGCAGTTAGGCGTCACTTGCTTGAATGCAACAACAAAATACAACGTCAAACTCACTTTAGCCTATATATAAAACATAGAACTTTTATTAACAAAACAAATAAAAATACACCATGCTATAGGGCAGGCTATGCCTAATATAAAATAACAAATAACTTACATAAAGTTTAAATAGGTATACAAAACTGGAAATAGGCTAAGTAAACATGTATATAACCAAATAAATAAGAAACGTAGAACGTTTATTAGCAAAACGAATGTCAAATAAAATAAATAAATGACACAAAGTAAAAAATAAAAAATCAGCAAACAATGTGGAACCAATTAAATAACGAATGTTTAAAAAAACTTCCAAAATCACCTTAGATAAACGGCAAAAGTCAACAGGCTTTTCAAAATCCAAAATACTGCCAAACAGGCACTTTTGCATTTCGTTTCGAAACTAAATCATCCGCCATCGTCTTGTCTGTCTCACC